GCACATGTCTGTCCATTTTGATTTGAGATATGACTCTTGGTGTGGGTTGAATGAGAAATCATCCCAAACAAAGGAAGTCAGAGAGAGCAAGCTAGGAGAGAAGTTCTTCAGGTCTAGTTCCTTCTGGATGCAAAGGAGTTTGCACATGTCTGTCCATTTTGATTTGAGATATGACTCTTGGTGTGGGTTGAATGAGAAATCACCCCAAACAAAGGAAGTCAGAGAGAGCAAGCTAGGAGAGAAGTTCTTCAGGTCTAGTTCCTTCTGGATGCAAAGGAGTTCTGGGTGGAAGGTGGCTGTAGCTTAAACCAAATGGAGGTGAGGGCCATCGAAAGAGAGGCCTAGTCTTTGTGATTTGTTTCTCCCTTCTGTGTCTCCTGTGGTCAAATGCTAAGTATGTGTTTGTTTTGCAGTCATGAACCGAAGCACAAAAAGATGCATGAGACATTGTAGCCATATGTCTGGTGTTACTCTTTGAAGAAAAAACCTTGCAGTGGTAAATAAATAATTTCCAACAGGGTCAGCTGTCTGGTGTTTTCTCTTTTCCTTTTATGAAATATTTTAGACATATAAAATGCAGAATTATCTGATAAGCACTCATGAACCACCACCAAGTTTGATAAAACTCACCAACTACAGCTGACATCCCCTCAGTTGAAGCCCTTTACTCAGAAGACCATGATCCTGAATATGGGGTTTATCATTCCAAGCATTCCTTTATACTTTCACTACATGCATACATGAACCCTGAGCACTATAGAGTCTTTTGTGTGTTTTAAAACTATATTTAAACTGTTTCACACTATTTATGCTCAACATTAAAATTTTGAGCTTCATCCATGTAGACATATGTAGCTCTAGTTCATTTCTTCTTCACTGCTGTATAATGCCACATTGTATGGATATACCACAGTCCCATTCTCCTCCTGTTGGTGTACATATAGATGTTTCCCTTCTTTCTTTTTTTCCTTTTTGGTTGTTAAAGGAAATGCTGCTATGGACAAAGTGCATGTTTTCTTGTGCACTTGTGTGAGTTTCCCCAAGATTTCTATCTAGGAGTGAGCAGAATTGCTAGGTCATAGAGTACTCTGTGTGATCATGTGTGTATGCATGTGTGTGCACGTGCATGTATGCACCTTGATGGCCCTGCTTGAGTACTGAATCAAATGGTTATGTACAATTAGGGATGCAAGGTGTATTAGTCAATTTGTGTTGCTTACAACAGAATACCTGAAACTGGTAATTTATAAAGAAACAAAATTTATTTCTTACAGTTTGGGGGCTGGGAAGTCCAAGGTCCAGGGAAAACGTCTGGTGAGGGCCTTCTGGGCGGTGACTCTCTATAGCAATGCAAGGTGTCACATGGTGAGAATGGGCTGAACAAGAGAAAGCTACCATTCTCACTCACTCTCCTTATAAAGTCATAGGAACCACACCCATTACTCCAAGGATGGATCAATCCATTCATGAGGGCACTGTCCTCACAATTTAACCACTCTTTAAGGCCCCACCTTTCAAATACAATAATCAGAATTCCCACCCTCCTTGCACTGTTATAATGGGGGTCAAGCTTCAATGAATTTGGGGGGACATTCAAACCATAGCACAAAGGTTGGGTAAGTCCTCTTTGGACTTTGACTTCATTCCCAAGAAGAAAAATTACATGGACACTACTGACTCCTCTTTCTTTAACTTCCCTAGAAGAAAGACCCCCATCAATGGAAGGTCAGTGCAGCAGCAGGTGGTACCCCAGAACTCCAGGTGGTGAGCAGGGACAAGGGGACTTCTGGGGTCACCTGAAGCCCTCCTGGTGGCCACTGAAGCCCTGGCCTCTGGAGAAAGAGGCCCTGGCATTAAGCAAGGGGCAGGGCCTGAATTTTACAGCCAGTAGAAAATCAGCCAGGTCATAGGGAATTAAAAGTGAAGGTTCTTAAATAGGATAAATGATCCATAAAGAAAGCCACAAGATGTCTTCACATTCCAAGTCTGTGCATATGAGTATAATTTTTAATTTTATATTATATACATACATACATTAAATTTTAATGACAACCAGGATTTTTATTTTCATAATAAAATAGGATACGCGGGTTTTATTCCTTATAGCCAAATATTACCTAGGCTATGTTTCACAGGTAACTATGAATATGGCCCACCTGAACCCAAAACTAATATTTAAGAGCCGGATTTAGATAAAAAGAAAAATGGAAGCAGGAGTAAGAGCTCATTAATCACTTTATACAACAGCTTCCCTTTGAAGTGCCTTAAACATTAACAAACTCTGCTCCTGCATATAAAATTGACTCATGTCTAGACACTGCATTTAGGAGCTGAAAACCCACAACCCAACTTGGCTGTGTCACTGGCCACCTTCATGGCCCTGGGAAAGTCACTTGCCTCTGGGCCTCAGTTTCCACATCTATAAAATGAATTTGGACCAAATGATCCCTAAGGCCCCTTTCAGCTTTAACGATTTTGATTCTGTGATCTAGACTGGCAACAACTCACTTTTCACGTGTACCTTTTGCTTCCTATCTCTGCGTAAAACAAACTAAACCCATGGATATGTGTAGCTGCCCTCCCTACCCTGTGCCTGGTATGCCCCCTGGCATCACCCCACAGTCCCTCCTGACAGCCACCCACTCCTCTAGACAATATGCAAGGGCACCTGAGTCTCCAAGTCAGCCTCTTCTCATTTGCTTAATTGCTAATGGGACTGGTGGTAATTTTCCACCTGAGAGTTTCTATTATTTTAGGGCCAGTTGGAAGCACCACCATTTCAGGAGCTTTGAACTCTAGCATCTGTTCTGTCTTCCTCCTGGGGCAGACTCCTGGCAAGGATAAAGCCAAGGGATGTGGCCATGGATGGATTTAGGGGGTTGGGCATTTTCTTAGCACAAGTGTTGGCTGCCCCCATAGTCCCCTTCTTCACTTCCTGTGGGTGAGCCGGTACAGGTTGTCCCTGGCAGGGACCTCAGCAGCTTCCCCAAGCCAGAGATGGAGGTGCTTACCTGGGAGAAGGATATAGGAAGCCAGTCCTGGTGCTGGAAGCCAGGTGGTACCATGGAGACTGGTCTGGTCTAGTGGTGGCCACTGTGTGATCAAGGCACTGTGGTGGCTTGTCTCCAGGTGGGTTTGGTCTCCCGTCAATGCAGCCCATGCTAGGGCATAGTTTCCTGTCCCAATTTCCCAATGCTCTTTCTTTGTGTTTCAGGACAGCCTGTTGGCAAGTAGGTGATGGCAGAAATCCTGTTTTAGAAACCCAGGGATTCCAGCCAAGGACTAGCAAGGAGAAACCTGCTTTTGCAGCCAAAACAAACAAATCCACTCTGCAGTCCCTCCTTTCCCCTGGAGGTTCACCTGAGCTGCTGAGATGAGCTATTGGAAGCAGAAGTTGCCCTAAGGATCTCTCTGAGAATGGAAGTGATCCCCATTCAGGCTGAGGTGTCCATGCCAGCTATAGGTGTAGGTGGCTCTGTATTAAAAGTCACAGGTGACCCCTCACCCAGGGTAGCGCCAGGAATTCTGGGTGAAAGAGAATGGCAGCAGGGAACCCCGATACTTCCTAGCACCTACTTCATCCTACCTAAGAGGTCACAATAACGATGATAATGATGATAATGAGCACGTAGTAAGCTACCGCTTTGTGCTAAGCACTGAAGAAATAGACAAGGGTAAGTGGCTTGTCCAAGGTCTCATGGCTCATAAGAGGCAGAAGGAGAGCTGAATCTGGTACTGTGTAACCCTAAAGTCCAGGTTCTGGGGTAGAGCCAGTGGCCAAGGGTCTTTACTGGAAGGTCCCTTAGATGCACAGGCCAGGTCACGTGGAATTCAGAATTCTCCCTGGAACCACAGACTCTCTGAATCACTGAGCTGGAAGGAGCTGGAAAGTTCTTTTCCATAGGGGAATCAGGAGACACCTGCCTGGATGGGGAGGGACATTGTCCAAGGGGCAAGAGCAAGTTGGAGCAAAGGGGAACTCAAATAATCACCATCGGGACAACCTCCAGCTTTGTAAGGAGGGTCTGGGTCAAGACCAGACGTAGCCAGGGGTCAGGGGCAGGGTCATTCTGATCAAGTGAGGACAATGAGACAGAGACAGGCATAGTGGAAGAATCTAGGACTTCAGCAGTGACCAATACAGCATTGCTGGAGTTGCACTTCTATCAGGAGCTGCTGAATTCGTGCATCCCTTCCATACACCTGGACGAAGCACCTCCTCTGCGTTGGTTGCTATGCACAGTGGTATTAAAATGCCTCTGCTTTTCCCTTGTGGGCATTATAATCTGATGGGAGAAGACAGACATGAAACAATCTCACACACACACACGCGCACACACATGGAAATTATATAG